GTGATGGATGCTGTGCGTTTACCGCGTGTGTAGTGGGCGATGATGATTGTGGTGCGTTTACTGTGTGTAGTGGGTGATGGATGTGTGCGTGTTACTGTGCTGTAGTTGGTCGATGATGTGCTGCGTTTATCGTGTGCTAGCTGGGTGATGACGTGTGCGTTTATCTGGTGTGCTAGGGGGATGATGATCGTGCGTTTACCTAGGCTTGTAGGCGGGTGCATGATGTGAGTGCCGTTGTACTGTGTGTAGCGGGTTGATGATGTGTGCGTTTACTTACGTGTGTTGCTATCGCCGGCCCTCGTGTGAGTGGGCAAGCGAGGTCTGCAACTCGATCATGGACATCATGGAACCCGCCCAGTAGGTGAGGAGGGTCCTCCACAGCTGTCTGCTGGACGTTAGCCCAAGTGCAAACACAGCTGCAGATACTTTTGAACCTGGCAGGCACGACCATGGCCAAAAGGACCCCAGAACCATGGTGTTGAGGGTGCGCATATGTAACAAATATCATGAGTACCGACCGATTGTTCCAGACACTTAGTGGCCGGCCACGTACCGCACCGCGTGGTAGGGCGAACCCCGTATGTCCAAAGACATTACGGCGGGAGAAGATAATTCGCTGGCCTACAGAATATCATAGTTTTCCACGAGCATATTTGTTAGTGTCCTTTTTGTATAGAAGTTAGATAAGGATTCTGTTAGCTGGCTCCTCGGTGCCCGGGTGGGTGGCTGGACGGCGCGCCAGCGGGCCCCGTCGCCGGCCGACTGGACGCGGCGCCGACGGAGGGCCGCTCCCACATAGGGTGGGGATCGCGCGCCGGTGCACCACACTTCCGCTCGCCCTCTCCGGCCGGGGTGACGCTCCACTGAGGGGCTCGATGAAGGCGCTCTCAGTGGGGCTGGGTGCCCGCCAGTGGGTGGGCAAGCAGACTTGCGGTCCCACCGATGGTCACATCTCGAACCGCGTGAAGCGTAGTCGTGGCTAGGGAGTGCCAGTCGCCGGCTGTGTGGAGTCAGGATGAGGCGATCAGAGGCGTTGGATGGCTTGAAGAAAGCAGCGGAAAGAGTACGGTGCTCTGGGTCGCCGGATCTCTTCAAATGCGCCTATACAGCCGCCGGGATAGGCGTAGCACGGATTAGCTATGAGACGACGGCGCGGCTATGGCAAGGATCGACTGAAAGCTCGAGCCAGGGCGCAGTCCAGTGACTGGAATGCATCGGGGGAGTGGTCGAGGAGGTGTGCGTGTTTGCGTTAGTTGACCTTGAGCTGCCAGTAACCAAGAGAGCTTGAGTTATTGTATCCCCCCGCGAAGCGAAGTCTAAGGCAATATGTTAAAATTTAATATTTGTATTAAAAATGTGTATTGTTAATAATTGTACGTATTGTAAATTTCAATGATTGTGCATCCGAAATATATATAGTAGGACATCGTTATATCGCCCTGTTGCCCAATACATTCCAAAGTGACATATTGCGGGTAAAAACATGCACACGTGCACAGACGAAGGTTACTAGGTTTCCTAAATAATTCCGTAGCAAATATGTTGCTTGACCGATGGCAGAACTGATGCGACTCTCCGCCCACTCGAACAGTAAAATACGATTTTGGCGTCTCTCGCTTTACATAACGCACCTTCAATATGCCAAATGCTTGTGAGCAGACTGATGCCCGAGATCGGGCGATTAAAAACTTCCCACCAGTCACTGCCTGCGAACTTTATTTACCTGTGACCTTGAGCCTTGATCTTTCTATATTTCTCTTCCGCTCTCTCTAACGTCAGCCGCCTAATTGACCAGCTCAGCGTGACGCAAACTGTGGTATGTGGCTTATCACATTCTTCGGGGAGAATGGTCTGTCCGCATACCCAAACACCACCACGCGCCCCTTGACCTTAGTTTGACGCTTGCGACCCGTTCGACTTTACATTTTCTGCTTCTCGGTCCCCTATGGGTAACTCAGACTTCCATATAACGTTGCCACATCTTGAGGCACCACCAGCTTGTCTAACAAACCTTTGTCTTTGTGACGTTATTTAACAATTTACCTGCCTTCTAGCGTCCTTACAGAGATATTCCATTCATACTATGGATCACCGGGGGATACAGCTGTGAGTTGGCGACAATAACTGCTCGTTGTCTTAGTTTATTGGTGAATCCGCTGTTGCATGAACACTCGCCATATTATAGGATACTAGGGCTAAACTCGTCGTATTAAGCCAGCGAGAAATAATGTTAATAGATTGTAAGATTTTTTAACAAGGAGGTGTTAGGTCAGTAGAGGTTAGTTGAGGCGTGTGATTAAGCGAGCTGGCACGCGACGGCCCGCGCGGACTTCGCGCCGTGGTGATGTAGCCTCCTGGCGGGCCGCTGAAACTGAGGCCCGGGGGTCGCCCGGGATGCGTCGGGCGCGTAGCCCTTCGCAGCCCGCTAAGGCGAGAGGTTGGCCCAGCGCAGTGGGGCGTCGTCGCGGGCGCGCTTAACCCACCGGCGCGTGTGGTGATGGCCCTCGAGCGCGCAACTCAGGGGGGGCAGAGTGGTGTTGTTACGCAGACAGGTTGAGGGAGGCGGAGCGATGAGTGGGGTGCCGGTGTGGGACGGCGCGTGGGCCGCGGCGCAAGTAGGAACCCGTAGCGAGTTGGCTCTCAGGGCGCGCTAGCGGGCGTCGGCCATCATCCGTTCTCAGGGCGTGGTAGCCCTCAGCCGCTGACAGGCCCAGGCGTGCTAGCCCTCAGCGCGCGCGCTTCGAAGCCGCCGCCGACGCGGATGGCCCGTCGCGCGCGACTTAACGGCGAAGTGCCAAAGATGCCGGGGTAGGCCTCAGCCCGCTAACTGCCACGAGTGGCGCTGTTCAGGGAGCCCCGGCCTAACAAGCGCACGTGTTAGCCCCTCAGCCGCTTAAACGGAGCATCGCGCGGCGCCCGCGCTCGCGCGTGTAGGCCCCTCAGCCGCTAACGAGCCAGGCTCGCGTGGTAGGCCCATCTCAGCCGTCTAACGAAGCCCGCGTGTAGCCCCCTCAGCCCGCTAACGCCCGCCGGTGATGCCCTCAGCCGCTGAACGGGCCGCCGAGTAAGGCCGTCGGCATGCTAACCGCCGCGTGTAGCCCGCTCAGGCGGCACTAACGCGCACGGAGTGCCGTCAGCCGCTAACCTGCGGAGATATCTCACACTGCCCGCGGCGTGTAGCCCTCGCTAGGCCGCTAACGGGGCCACGAGGTGGCCTGTGCGGCCGCTAACGCCACGGATGTGGCCCTCCAGAGACCGCTAACCCTGACACGAGTGGCCGTCGGCCGCTAACGCCGCGCGTGTAGCCCGTCCGCCACTAACGCCACGAGGGCCACCTGCAGCCGCTAACTATACTGCAGCGCCCCGCGTGTACCGGGTGCTGGCGCCGGCCACTACACCGAGCACACCGCCCAGGGGCGGCCGCGTTACGAGTGGCCCTCAGCCGCTAACGCCGCGTGTAGCCGTCGGCCACTAACGCCACGAGTGGCCGTCGGCCGCTAACGCCGCGAGTGGCCGTCGGCCGCTAACGCCGCTGCTTAAATTTTGATGAATAATGTACCCTCAAAGATATAGATGTACAAGATATTTTTAATAGACTTTTACTACAAAACCATTTTATTGTAATATATTTTCACACCGATATTCCCGTCATATAAAGTTGTCAACTAAATTTACACGTGTTCACTAATTGACACCTAGATGGTAGAATAGAATGACTGCATCATAGATTTATTGTGTGTGATTGTGTATGTACAGTGCACGCTCTCTCTTCCGCGGTGAGCAGTGAATGATGCGGTACGTGACGTACGTCGATGGGTGGATCCTTAGTATTGGGTATATCTGAACTGCACCTCTTCACCATCCTTAGGAATCAGAGATTCGATACCTGCAAACGAAACGAGTTCGCGGGTAAAGAAAGTTCTAACTGTTCTCCATACGTTGGTTGTGTAAATAAACTCATTTCCAGTACTCCTGTTTGGAGCACGAACTTACCAACGGGTGCGGAAGTGAAATCCTGTCCCGGGGCACGTATCAAGAGTGACCAGTAACGGTTGAGGATGATGTCTTGGCGTAGGCCTAGTAGACCCTGAACTGCATTTCCAAAACTATATTCCTTTAACTCGTAGCTAGAAAAAAAGATCGTGATGTTGTCAATATAACACAAGGTGGATATTGTATGAAGCAGTATTGTATGGAGCATTATTGTATAAAGCATTGTGTAATCATATATTGTAAAAATACTTGGCGGGTATATACGTGGCATATCTTAATCGTGTGGTTGTTTACTCGTTTATTCTAAGCGGGACCACTGTGGCTACCTCTAGACGTCGCCTGTCGTTATGGCGCGAACACGACTTACGTAAACACTTCAGTGGAGCCATTTCTCGGGCCCCTGCCGTCCGCAATCCTTATGATCTCAATGACAGTGCTGTTGACAGGCACGTAGAATTTGGCCGCAAACATGCGATCACCTGTGATGGCGTTCACTACCGATAGCTTCACTGTTATGTGTTGCACTTCGGGCTTCTCGGTTGACGCTAGAATGAAAAAAAAAATATATAAAATCCATGTGCACGTGTTGCGAGAGCGACCACCGTGATTGATCGAGAATGTGAAATCCTAGTAATCGCTGAGAAACGATTAAAGCGACCGCGTGTTAACCCGAACTTACACTTGTCGATGGCGTTCGGACACGCGTGACGCTTTGTGTAGGTTTTGCCGTTGAGCGCTGGCAGCACTTCGGTGCTGGTGAAGAGTGGTGTGCCGAACTGACCGAAAGATCCGTCCGACGCTCGCACGGAGAGCAGCCAGTCGAGCGCTGCAGCGCAGTTCCACTCGTCGGAATCTGCCGCTGTCAGAGCCTGTGTGCCAGCAAGAGATGTGCGGGACTGAGACAGAGCTGGTGGCGAAATATGCATTCTGCTGACGTGTGAGGGTGACGGGCGTAATGATGCTAATATGTAGTAGATAGATAGATGGATGGATGGATGGATGGATGGATGGATGGATGGATGGATGGATGGATGGATGGATGGATGGATGGTATGGTGTGTTGTGGTGGATTGATATTGGATGTGGATTTCTCACGTTCCGTGCAGTAGAGCTAGGAATGGATGATGGATGGATGGGATGGATGGATGGATGATGGATGGTATGGATGGATGGATGGTGTGGATGGATGGATTTGTGGATTTTGGTGCGTGTGTGTGTGTTGGGCTTGTGCGATTTTCTTGGCACGGGTGGATGGAGGATTCACGCAGATAAATGGATGGATGGCTATGGATGGTGGATTGGTGATAGGAATGGGATGATGTTGTGTTATGGATGGTGATCGATGGTTAGATCGATGGAGCTGGATGCATGTGGATGTATGGATGGATGGAGGACGCCGGGCGACGGACGGACGGACGGACGGCGACCGACGGACGGACGGACGGACGGACGGACGACGGACGGCAGGAACGGACGACCGGACGGAGGAACGGAAGAACGAGGAACGGCCGGGACGGGACGGAGCGACGGACGGCGACGCCGGAAAGGACGGACGGACGACGGACGACCGGCCGAATTGGATGGCTTGGCAGGGGATGGATCGAGGGGGCTGGATGGTGTGATGGTATGAGATGGGTGGATGGTAAATGGATGAGGGATGGTGGGATGGTATGTTTTATATGATCGAATAAATGGATGGATGCGTGGATGGATGGGTGGATGGAAAACAAGGTAACAAATCATTAAAAAAAAAAAATTTTTTGTCTTTTTTTTTATACAAAATTCTTTTTTTTGAACGACTTAATAATTGGGATAACAGTCTAAAAATCAATTTAATTTGTTTTTTCGTTCGCGATGTGGCACGGTCACCGGGATACCCACTTGATCCCGTGCCGGATGAGTGCTGGATGGATTTGATTGGTGGATGGACGATGGATGTATGGATGATGGATGGGATAGGTGGTGGATGGATAGATGGATAATGGATGGAAGGATGGATAGATTCGAATGTATGTATGGGATGGTGGAATTTTGGGATGGGAATGGAATGCGATGGACTGCGAGTGGTGGTATGGATGATTAATGGATGGGATGGATGGTGGGTGGTTTATGGTTGAATGGATTGGAGGCAGTGTATGGATGGGATGAATTGATGTGAATTGATGGATCGCTGGATGGTTGGATAATGGTATGGATGGATGCGGTGTGGATGATAGTATCCGATAAATGGCATGGATGGAATGGATGGATAATGGATGGAAGGATGGCTAGATGGAATGGCATGAGATCGGAGGGGATGGGTGAGGTTGGGCGGGCGTGTAACAGGGGGGGGGGTTCCAGGGGGTCCGGACCCCCCCTGCTCGCGCAGAAACAGCATCCAAGTGGGTTCTAATTTCAAAAAAATTTTCTGGTCCCAGACACCACCTTCGCGTGCTCGCAGTTTTGGTTACGCGTTAGACCCCCCCCCCTGGTACAAATCCTGTACCGCCCTGGGGATCTGTATGTATGTATGTATTGCTGCATGCATGCATGCATGGATGGATGGATGGATGGATGGATGGATGGATGCATGCATGCATGCATGCATGGATGGATGGATGGATGGATGGATGGATGGATGGATAGATAAATCAGCAGACGGGCAGTTAGAGGGTGGTCATGCACGTGGATGAACGAGCTCTCGATGATAGCCACATAATAGTCATTGACATGTTTGTACTTGCTGAAATTCCGGTCACATATTTACAAAAAAAGATTGTGAATTTGCTTAAAAATCAACATGATGATGATGATGATTGAAATAAAAACTTTGATAGCCTGTGACAGCAGTAGTAAATATAGCAATGATATATAATAGCAGCAATGGTGGTGGTAAAATACCAGATTAATTATGTATGACCAAATCGCTTACAGTGTTCTTGTACCATGCTTACATGCTGGATGTATAAAGCTGGCATAACGACGGTACGTAACCATCACGAATTGTTGGAAGTTTTGTGCGTATAGTTACCTGCATCGCAAGGGCAGTTGTGTGCTCGTTGCCAAACTGTCCCGTACTAGCGTTCTGTCGACTGCTAATGTAATCTACGATCTGGGAGAAATTGGCATCGAAGTCTTCTATGCCAGTCACCACATCCGGTTGTCTCTCCTTCACGCATGAAAGTGCCATCAGGATCATGGCAGCCTCGTCTGTAAAGCGCACCAGTATAAATATCACGCTACACAATCACGTTTTATCAATACACTATAAATAGTATTGCGAAGAAAACTAGAGACACTGGAGATCAACTCCCGCGATTTAATACCTGTTTGAATTTGTATCATGAATTTTATTAGTGACATATTTTTGGTCTCGCGTATCGGTCGCGTATCCATCTAATCGTCGAGTGGAGAAAGTGAGGCTGAGTGTAGCCTCGGCAATAGCGACCGATAGCGACAGCTTCGTTCACTGCATGAGTTCAGTTTGGTTTGAGAGTGGCATGCTAAATTCAGGACGTTATTCTTGCCGACTAGCACATTTTCTATTGTATCGCGTCGTACAATTTCGCCTCCTGTCCTACTGCTCAGAGTCACTGTCGTTTCGCAGCACCGTGAGTTGCGTATCCCTACAGCGGGAGCGAAGGGCTGCACGGGTAGAGCTGTATAGTCTAGTGGTGGCACCATAGAAATATATACGCTTACCAACGCCGAAAGTCGGAGCTGTGGGTCTGTCGATCAAGAAAGTGACGTTCTCTGTGCTCAGTGGCTCCTCACCATTGCACATCGCCAGTGTCACGAGTCCGTACTGAAATCTATTACTGAAGCCAGAGCTCGGATACTGAGGAAGCTAAATAATCGAAAAGAAATTGTAGCGTATAAGTTTTAATGAACGCGGGGCATGACAGCGACGTGCCGTCCCGAATACATCTAATCATGATATCGTACGATGATGTCCTATTATTTAATTTCTAGACGGCATGCGTCGGATCGATTAAATTAAGGCCGTGGCTACGCGTCCGGTTACCGGACGCCCAGCTCCCAGGCTATGCGTCCGGTCATATATTTCTTATGTGAATCCCCGTGTGAACCCAACTATATTTGTTCAGTAAAAAACAATAAACAATAGGGATTAACCATAATATTACTTACCTTTAGGTATTTTATAAAAAAATCGTTTTTTTAAAACTTTTGAAGCAATAGTAAATCCAGTAAAATCAACGATTTGAAAGGGGCGTGGCCTAATCGTGATGGGGATTTGAGAATCTGTGCTGAGCTTTGTAATGGATGACCGGACGCGTAGCCACTGCGTTAAATTAATTATTCGCCGATCACACCCGCGCGTGTCAATTCCGAAAAGTTGCACAGAAATCCGGAATGCAACGCACGACGAAACCAACCGTCTTTGTCCTGATTTAATTACTTCACAAAATCGTTATACACGTAATCAAAATGATCGAATCAAATTAATAAAGTCCCGATTTAGGGCCGTAGGCTGAGCAAATTCCTAGGGGAGTGGGGCAAAATTTTACGACTCAACTGTGTAATGATGAGCGACGGGCGCAGCTCTTGATCGATGTCATAGTGTGGTAGGGGTGGGTCTGAGACAAGGCTTTCACGGATAAGTGACAAAAAAATCACGTTAGAGTTATTTATGATTATTCGCTAAGGTAATTTTTTAATTATGCTCCAAAATCTAGGGGGCAGTCTTGCCCCCCCCCCCCACACACACACACAGAGTGACACACAGGCTAGGGCCCTGCGTTTAGAGGCGAGAGATCGCAGACAAGTAACGTTACGTCTGGTCGAGGCGTGACGTCAGTGGATATCGCAAGTTTACTAGCCGCCACCAATGCGTCTGATGCAGAGTGAAACAGACGCGACAGCAGCGAAACAGGCGGCGGTAAATAACACCACATGCAAGACGCACCCATGCTGTTAATTCCTCTATAAAGTCGACACCGTAGAAGTCGCGTGGATCGTGGCAGGAAAAGACGAGCGCGTTGATGATGAACGCCAAATGCCCAGCAGAATATTTCCGGCTGCAATAGCAACAAAGTACACGACGCTGGTATGCTAAATTCTTTGCTGTACAGAAATATGAGGACGTGACACATAATATATAAACGCAGACAATACGCACGCACACGCGCACACGGACGCAGACAGCAGGTGGGCAGGCACGCACGCACATACACGGACGCACACGCACACGTACATACATACACGGACGCACACGCACATACACGGACGCACATACACGGACGCACACGCACATGCATACACGGACGCACACGCGAAAACACGGATCATCGAGAGGGCATAAGATGTCCTCCTGTGAGCATATATAACAGAAGGACAGATTCACCCACAGAACACCTCAGGTATAGAGAGCATACGCCTTCACTCGTTCAGCAGCGAATATCGCGAAAGAAGGAACGACAAGGAATCAGAATTCTACCTATTCAGCAGGTCGCGCAGGATCTCGATGTGCATCTGTTTGCTGCTGAGCTGTGGCCTGAGGTCCAACTCGTCGGTCAGCCACGAGGCATCGGTCATCTGCAGTGCGAGTATGGCCCTGACGGTGGGCAAGCTGCGACTGTCGTGCCAGCCGTGTCGGTCATTACGCTGACCTTCCATCCACCTCACAGTCGGCTCATAGTGCGCTGGCTCGTACTCTGCAACGCCGCAACGCCAAGTTCTAATCTGATATATATATATATATTGTAATTCAATCCATTATATATAAGTAATTCAATGCCCGTGGTAGACGAACCTATAGAGTACCGAAGTGATGACGTCACGGTGGCATGACAACGAGCCCACTGGTTCTACACAATCATATGCTCTGGTAACATTAACTGCGTGTCGTGTTTTGTACCCGATTGTAACCAGCATTCTGAGAGTCATTATTGCAGTTTTTATAGATTTCCAAAAAATGGAAGTGAAAAGCCACGGGGAAAAAAAAAAATTTAACCAAAAAAAAATTTAACCAAAAAAAATTTTTTTTTCCAATTTTTTTT